TACAAATCAAGAGGATGGCACCCGGAGTGGGTGGGTGTGTGTGGCACGGGATGTGTTCCCTCCTGCCCCGGGTACTCTGCATTTGTTGCAGGCTGTAGATAGTACTTTGCTCTTGTTTGACCCATGACTTACTTTTTTTTCTAAATTGGTAAATAGTAAACAGTATTAAATTCTGAAAGAAAATGGATAGTAATCCCAAACCTGCTGAATGGTTTTAAAAAATTGAAGACTTAATACCCATTTTTATCCTTTGTCATTGCAAATAGAAAAGTTAATAGATAATTGAATGCAGATTAAATAACCTTTTTGAAGGCTAGAGTTCATAAGAAAGAGAAAAAATGTTTGTGCTGTTTATTTGTCCTGAGTGTTGAAACTGTAAGTGGTTGCTTAGTATGAAATGCACAGTACACCCTAGCTTACAATCTAACTAGCTGAATTTGTGCATGCAGTTCAGGTACCCAGGTACCCATATTGTCCTTCTGCCCTGCAGATTCTCTAGTTTGGGTTGCCCGGCAGCAGCAACTGCTCTGCAAGAAACAGCTATCCACAGTGTAAATGAATTGCTTATCTAAAGGTATGGTTACATGGGTAAACTCTTGCACAGCTAAGCTCCAAATTTGCATCATCAGCAGCCTCCTCCTGATCTAACTTCAGTTAATATGAAAGCATACCCATTTCCCACTGAAGGGTAAATTGCTGGCTTGTGCTCACTGAAGGGTAAAAGTGAACACAATTGTACAGCAGAGCAGCTAACAAGACACGAATTAACATGCTGGTTTATCTTGCAGTAATTTGTTCTGCAGCCATAACCTGATGGTGCACAAGGCAGTGAAGCCAAGTGCTTCAACGTGCACTTTTATCCACGACAATGTTGTTTCTGTCTCTGTGGTTTCTGACAACTCTGCCCCTGAGCTGTCAGTGAAATGATAGAAGTGTAAATGGTAGTTTTTCTGTTGGTCAGAAGAATAATGATGCTTTAGCTCTCCTTAAATTGCCTTTGGAGCTCTGCTTCCAAAATACATAAATCTGCATAAAAATAAATGGCAACATAAATTTAAAAACTCATTTGTCTTTTTGATACCTTTTGTAGGTAGGTGCTTTGGGAAATGGTCTAATGTCTAGTCTCATGTTGAAATCTCTGAATTACAAAAGTGGTGGAGGTTTTCATGTTATGTGGGTAGTTTTGTTTTGCTTTTTTGAGGTTTGTTTTGCCTTTTTTTTTTTTTTCCAGTGGGAATGACCATTTAGATACTCAGCTGTCTGCAGTAAGATAACCTTGAAACATACCAGGACCCATGGTGGCTCTGTTTCCTTATTTCTGCAGAAGTCTCAGGGCTTTCAGCCTTTGTTGGCAGTTTGTCTCTGATGTAATGTTATGTTTTGTGATTTAATTAGATTTTGAGTTCCCTATCTTGACTTTTCACTAGGTTTTCTGAGTTCCAGACAAAATTAGTAAAAATTTCAGCACTTAATTGGAGCAATTCAAGTGCTTCTCTCCTGAATCCTCAAATATGCAGTCTGTGTGAATTGTTCTATTTAACAATTTCCCATCAGGAGACAGCTCTAGTTATGTTTGTCCTAACATGCATGTTACCAGCAAATTATTTATAGGACATACTGTTTTGCAACCTACTCATAAAGTCTGATATTTCAGAAAGCTGAAGTGTGGCCATTGGAGAGAGCTTGCTGGTTGCCTGAAAAGAAATTAATTTTGCTGTTTGTCAGCATTTCTACCAGATAGAATAAGCTATTTTTAAACTGTTTGTTGCCAACATGACCTGAAAATTAGAACACGTAGGAAAATGGGTTTGGTTTTTGGTGAAAAGGAAATACTTTGGGCAAAATGCCACTTCAGTTTCTCATACAAAATGTAGTTGAGGAACTCTTATTCTTATCCTCCCCTGGGGATTGAGATTCCTGGTCAGAATAAATGTCTGATAAGGCACCAGTCTCTTGGGCACCAGTAATGCCCGGGAGGGAGAAGTCCAACAGAATGCTCGCATAAACAAATGCTATGATAAGGCAATTAGACTGCGGTTTTTCACAAGTGGTACAGTGGTTGTGTGCTGTCCTCAGTCCTTGCTTTACTATTCACTGAAGTTTCTGAGATTCAGAGTTACCTTGAGATTGTCAAAACTGACAGGAGCCTTACTGCATCTAATTTTATCTGCTTAAGAGTCTGTTGCTGCTTTTGGCAGAGTGGAGTATCTGTCCATTTGTCCCTCACTGAAGTGCAGCGTTGGGCAGCTGGGCTGTAAGCCGTGTGCTGTCCAGATTTCTGCACTTTACACTGAAGCAGCTGGAGCAGTGGTTTTGCTCTGGCACTGCCAGTCTGCAGCAGGGACAAGAGTGTGTGTCTGTCCTTATGAGATGAGATGCCGTGCAGAGATTTGCTGCAGTATGTTTCACCTGCCCGAGGTGATTGAATAGCCTCCCCTGAAATTCTGATTCCTTCAGATGGATGCACAGTCTTCTGTCTGCATTTTGTAAAACAAAATACATAACTAATACTGCTGTAATGCCTCTCTAAGCATTCATGGAGAATAGAAGCTTTGCAGCTCCTCTTAAAACTTTGAGAATTGCCTTTGCACACTCAGAGATTTTAAAATGGCTTATAGCTTGTAAAATAAACAATGTTTATAGAAGAGTGTTACGGTTTCACCCCAGATGGCAACTAAACCCCACCCAGCCACTTGCTCACTCTTCCCGGTGAGATGAGCAAGAGAATCAGAAGAGCAAAAGTGAATACTTTATGGGTTGAGATAAAGATAGGTAAAACAAAAGCCACACATGCAAGCAAACCAAGTAATTAATTTAATGCTTTCCATGGACAGGCAGGTGTTTGGCCATCCCCAGGAGAGCAGGGCTCTGTCACATACAACAGTTACTTGGGAGGACACTGTCAATCTGAATGTACCCCTTTTCTTCCATCCTCCCTTCTGTCCTTCTGTCCATCTTTCCTTCCCTCCCCCAGTTTTACATGTTGAGTGTGGTGCCATATGTGTGGGATGTGCCTGTGGTCACTTGGGCTCAGTTCTCCCAGCTGTGTCCATTCAGAACTTTTTTGTGCCCGGCAGTCAGCTCAACGGTAGGGTGGAGTGAGAAGCAGAAAAGACCTTGATTTAGTGTAAACACTCCTTAGCAACAACTAAACTGATGTGTTATCAACATTTTTCTCAGCCTAAATCCAAAATACAGTATTGTACCAGCTACTGGTACAGTGGGAAGAAAATTAACTCTGTCCCAGCTGAAAGTAGAACAGAGCTGCTTCAGCTTATTGAGTGGTAAGAAATGCACATGTTTTTTATTTTGCATATATGTTCTAATCTCTAAATCCACTAAAGTAAATTCAAGAAAATATTTTATGTTCCTAGTTATGACAAGTATTTTGTAGCTATGAAGGCATGAAGTCAACACTTCTTTATAACTAGATAATTGATTGAGAACCCTTCAGCAACTTCCCATCCCTGCACTTTATACTGCTTGTTAGACCTCCTGGCTGTTCTAGGTACCTACTAGGGACAGTTGCCTGTAGCCTTCAGCATCCATCCCAGCCCTTCACTTGATTTGCATTTGGATTTGGGTTGCTTGGAGTATCACACCTTGTTGCTTTCAAATGCTCATCAAGCAACTTTGAGCACAGTATTTGCTGTAAAAATGGTCTTTGGCGTGGCTGTTTTCTAGTGTAGAAATACTTCAGGAGTTATCTTCTATGCTGAAAGGACCCAGAATGCTGCAAGACCCAGGAATAATGGAATTCAAATGCCACTGAACTTGTGCGTGTGACTATAGTGCTTATTTGCACTTAATTAACATCACCACACTTAAATTACCCAGTCTTAGTGATATACTGGTGTTTTCTTTATCTGTGGGTATATCTTTGAATTATTACTTATCTTACAATATTTCTTTAATAGGTGATGGAAAGATGGAAGATTGTAGAGAAATTGGCCAGTATCATGCTATGAAGATATAGTGGGAACTGACTTCTTTAATTATCTGCTGCTTGAGGATATTCTGTAGTTTATTCAGTTTAATGGGAAATAAGCATATGTAATCCAAGTAGATTTTGCTGCCTTACATTCTGCATTCTGCAGCATCTTTTTTTTTCAATCAAAATGAGATGTCATCGTTCTGAGAAGGCTTCTGTTTCAGGAACGACAACCAAATCTTAAGAAGGCTTTCAGTATGTCTTCAATATTCCCCTCTTTGTATCCCATGTAATTTTACTTCTTTAGGTGAATATAAAGTCTTTTTATGAGTAGTAATTTCTCTGAGAGCTTCTTGGCTAACTATAGTTTGAATTAAGTAAAGGTGAGCAAGTCTAAAGCATAAGTTGGATTGTATATAGAAATTGATACATAAAGGAATAGTGTATATGAAGTTTTGAATTCTAGGCTTCCGAAGTATATTTGCAGCACTGTCTTCCCCTTTTGAAGAAGTGCATTTCTCATTTAGCTACAAGAATTCTACCAGTAGAGTAAGCAAGGGCTGGACTGTTTCCCTCAGTAAAAGCATGAACCTATCTCTTGTACTTAATGAACAGCACAAGCACCTGATTTTAGGAGCAGTTTTACAGCTATGAATCCTGGTCTTGCCTGAGTGCCTTGGAAGGTTTTGCTATTGGTGTCCTGCTTGGTTGCTTTAGGTAGGTGTTTAAATTTGGGAAGGCAGGATTTCATGTGCATAACTCTTCAGAGCTTCCTCTCAGCTATTTTAGATAACTGTATGCCCCAGTAATAGTTATTCCTGGGTGTAATGCTTCAGTTGCTGTGGAAAGATGTTAAGCAAGTAATGTGGATTTGTGTTTTCCATTTTGAAGTGAATACCCATCTTTCTCTGAATCTGTGTCCAAAATACTTTTCTCTCACAGGCCCTTCTATTAATCTTTACAAAAGCTGTGCTTCTCCGCAGCATCATTTCTCATGATAGTGGTTGACCCAAAGTGGCTAAATGTGTGTTTGGTGCCTATTGGCAGTATTCTTTTTTTCTTCTTCTAGGACGTGAAAATCTGAGAAATGAACAAATTACGGCAAAGCTTTAGGAGAAAGAAAGATGTCTATGTCCCAGAGGCCAGCAGGCCTCATCAGTGGCAGACTGATGAAGAAGGCGTTCGTACTGGCAAGTGTAGCTTTCCTGTTAAGGTAAGAGTTACTGTCTTTCTTTTGGATATCCATGAAGTACTCTTGCCATGAATTGTTATTTGGGTTTTTTTGGCAAGCATAAACCAGAGACATGCTTCATTACACACTGACCTATTTTACAGTTGGCTCTCATTGCAGAGGATGTGGCTTTTTTCTTAAAACCAGATGGCTCATGTAACAAATGCCTTGGAAAACCAGTCTGAGATATCCTACCATTATTATCTAGTTGAAATAAATAATGTAGCTTGATAGATGAGTAATACAATATCTGTCTTCATTTCTCTGGAAGATCAGAAATGATAGACCCCTTGGATTGCATGAAAAGGTACTCAGTTCTCTCTGTTAAAAGTGCAGTTGTGGTTACAGTTTGACTTGTAAGATAAGTGGTGGGCTGTGCTTGGAAAGCAATCCTTCTTCCCTCTCAATAATTGAAAATATTTTCAAGTAACACCTGGGATTTCAAACAGTGCATGAGGTTAGAAGCACTTGCTGACTTCTGAGAATGCCTCTGTGCTAGAATCTTGTGTGTGTATATTACAGACTATTAATCCATATGAAATTAAAATTACCTTTTAAAATTCTGGTAACTCATTCCAGATTATCAGAGTACTATAAATGAGTGTTTTCTTTTTTGTGTCCAATTCTCCCCCCCTTTATTTAAGAAACAATAATTTAATACTTTAGAATAATATTTATTATTAATACTTAATAAATACCAGAATAAATGTAAACATAAAATTTAGGGTGCCTTGTTGGATGTGCTCCCCTTTCTTCCTCAAGGTACACTAATAGTAGAGCTACAATAGGTTGGAAGGAGATGACACTTGAGGAAAGCTAATGGGTTAAATATCAATGTACAAGGAACACACTCTATGCTTCTGACACCTATGGGCCTTCCATTAGTTTTTCTCTGTATTATGTTTAAAGTGATTTTGTCTGATAGTTTAACTTGTGATGTTGCTAGGAGGAATTCTTTAAACTGACTGTTGCATGTTTTTGTGAAGTTGTGGATTGGTAGGTATGTGGTAAGTATGAGAATTTGCACATGAGGTTAATGCCCTACTTTTCCCTACTAGAGTTGCTTTTGTGCTTTTACATATACTCAAGTGTATAGAACATTTCTAGTTCATGGCTGCTTGCATATTTTTGTCCTGAGTTATTTTTCTGCTAAGAGGAAGGAACTGTAATTCAGTACTGAACAGAGATGGTGTTTTGCCAAAGCTTTGAAAGTAACTGCTCTGGGAAAGCTCAAACTTAGATTAAGGTTTAACACTGTCTAGGAGAGAACAGAGCTGTAAGTTCGAGGATGATGATTTTTTCATAACTTAGGCATTACACAGGTTGAAAAGCAGAGTGCTCAATTTCTTGGCATTTAGTTTTATTCAGACTTTTTCAATCCTTTACTGAACACAAAGGGTGTGAACCACTCCACACTGTTAAAAGACTGACTTTTTTTAAACTCTCAGTCAGGACTTGCACTTCTAATGACAAGTGCTTCCTGTATTTAAATGAAGCATTCATCTATTCTGGGCACATGTACCCAAAGTCAAAAAAGGTTTTGGCCTATTCCGTGCTGAAAAGGCGTAGAAATTGATGAGTCTTTGCATCCTGTCATCAAAATGGGACTTATGTGCACTCATTAGTCTGCTTTTAATTGGAAATCACTGAATTAATTTAATTTGTTCTTTGGAAAAAAGTGCTTTTAAGGTAAATGTAAGGGACATTTATCGATTTGGTCAGAATGGTAGAGTATTAATATCCAAAGAACTTGCAAGTAGGTGAAAACTTAAATTCAGAATAATTTAATATTAAGAGGCATTTTATCTTACTTAATTAGAATTTATTGTCCAATATAGTATGCCTGGATATGGACAAAGTGGAAATTTTTATAAGGCTTGAGATGCAGAGTGGGTGTTAACTGGTGTTGAATAGATAGAGACAGGAAGTATGCAATTGTGAGGGAACAAGATAAACCAGATGCAGAGTCATCGCTTTAGTGGGTGGTACTGTATTTTGCTCACAGAAAGAATAGAACTTTGTGCTAGTGAAGGAGAGTATCCTGTTACGCCTGTCTTGGGTATTTTTTGGGAATTCATACATTCCAGGAAAAGTATGCAGTCTCCTGTGTCCTTAAATATCTGGTGGGGTGACTTTTCTTCCTGATGCTCCTCAGTGGAGCAGGATGAAGTGAGATATTTTGGGAAGAATGGTTAATGAATAGGAATACATTCAAATATGAAAGATGGTGAATATACCTGAGTTTTCTTTCAGTTTTGCAGTGGGAATTCCAAAGTGGTCCGTTGTCTGTAGTATAGCTGCCCAACCACACTTGAATATGTTGGAGGAGCTGAGGAGGGGGTGCACAGTATTAGCCTATTCTTACTTCTTATGATCTGCTTTGCCTGCTCTCTAAAAATCGTCTGCAATTCTTTGGAGTTCAAAGCATAACTAAGTAGTAAGACCAGAATCTGGTCTTGTTTTCAGGGATGGTGAAGACTTCATCTGTACTCAGTGAAGACCTGAAAATTCTTAATAAATGTTGCTGCAGCTGTCCGTAGGATTTTCTGTTTGAAAGTAAAATACATGAGATTAGTGCAGTAGCAGCCAAACTGTGGGCTTGGTTACTTCTAAGGCTTACTATTTTATATAGGTAAATCACTAATATACTTATTTTTTGAGATAGAGACAGGAGACTAGTGCAAACATGTACAGGAACATTTGTTCTTGGTTTCTCCTGTTAAAAAAGATCTCTTAAATTGGTTTGGTTTTTAACTTCTTGCCTTTGGGCATTTATATTTCACCCAGAGCTTGGGTGTTTCTAGAGTCCTACCACAGATTTATCCTTTTTTAGACGTTACAGAGCATGTGGAAGCACTTTGAAAGTCATGCTGCAAATAGGATTTCATCCTGCCTTCAGGCTTCACTCTGTTAGTGTTGGACAGGGACTCCAGTAGCTGCTTATTCATTGTGCTTGGAGGATGCTGCACTGCAAACAGATTTAATATTGCTAAAAGATTTTCTATGTTGGCTGTTTCTTGAAGCTCTTCCTGTGCTATGTCCACAGCTGATCCTTATTATTAGTCACTAAGTGTTTAGTTGGATTTTGAGCAAATCTGATACATCTATGGATTGTCTTCCCTTTGTCACAAATTCCTGTTGTGTTCCTTCATGTTGCTTTAAAATTCAGGGAAGTAGATTTAATCCACAGTTGGTTCCCTCCAGTGATGTGTTCATAAATTTGGAGGTGGTGATAATCATAAATAAATACTGTTCCTTTTAATCAATAGCATTCCTTTTTGTTAACAGTCTGTGTTTTTCTGCTAATTGGTGGGGCTCTGTTGCAGGTAGCCAGGTATTGATCATATTTTCTGTCATCTTAGTGTGTGTAGCTGTAATTACAGATAGTTCTTCTCTGTGTTGGAAATCTAACCACACCTGAGGTGGTAACCTGACACTCAAAGATAGGGCTGTGCAATGGCTGCTGACTTTCCTGTAGTGTTCTTCTGCGTAAACTGCTTTGAATCTGCTAAAGTTAGATTGAAAGAGCCAGGGAGAGACAGGTCCTGTCTGTCTGCAAAGGTATGAAAAGGATGTTAAACTTGTGTTTAGAAAAGTGACTTGCAGACTTTTGCAGTTCCATTGGGAACTCGAATGGTGTTGCTCTCCTAGCTTTGGTGGTGTGGAGTCATAATACCTTGCAGCTTTTATAAGTGTTCAGCAAGAGTTGCCCTATTAGTGAATGTGGCACTGGTACATCTGTTGCAGTCTGTGCAGAAATCTGTTTTCAGGGACAAATTCTTTCCCACATCCTAACAAATTGAAAGGTAAATACTGTGTTTCAATAGTGAATCCTCCCTCTGAGAGAAAAACAGTACCAGATACATGCAGTATATAGGGGTGTTAGATGAAGAGATGGTATTTAAAATTATTTAGAAGTTGAATATTCTAACAGACATTACAGCTGTGCTTATCAGTGCTATAATTTATTTATGCACAATTTTATACATTAGAATTGCAACAAATGAAGTTCATTGACGTACACATTTTCAAACTTGCTTTCTTGCTCCAGACACTACCTCACTGAAAACATGCAGCTGTTCTGTGGTATAATGACTGAAATATTTGACACCAGGGCTTGTTTTGTGTGAAAAGCCTTTTCGAGTGTCCCTCTGGGTAAGTGGTTTTCATTCACACAAATGCTCTTTGGTGTAACTGGCCTGTGAAATTTACATCAGAAAAATTAGGTCATTTCCTTCTACCTAAGAGAACTAAACAAACAAAACATTTGCAAATTCTTGCTGGTTCTGACCAAAAGGATATTAACAGAATATTAACAGCTGATTACTACCTGGTGTTCTAGAAGATGCAACAGTTGTGTGTATCTTGAATAATTTAGTTTTGTTTTGTCATTTCCATGTTCTGGTTGGTCAGTCTCTTTTGACCTTAAGGCATCTAAGGCTACTGTTGTATATCATCTGCATGTTTACTTGCGTTTTTTAATTCGACCTAGAAGACTAAAGATGTGAGTGAAAAAGCTGATATGTAAGAGTAACAAACCACATTTCTATCTCTGGCATCCAGGATTTACTGCTGAGTACCTGGTATCATTGGAGTTAACCTTTCCACTGAATTTGATTTCTGTGTTAGAGTTGACAAATAACAATTGTATGGATACTGTTCTATTTTAGTATATAAAATAATTGACTTTTCAGAACAAGTACTCTTGAATTGTTTCCTTTTGCTTTGATGGGAGATGTTTGGAAGACACTGTATTGCTTTGTGTTGAAGAAGAGGCAGAAGGAAAGGGAACATCTGGCACAAGCCCTGTAGAGTAACCTTATTGGGACCTGTGAATGTCCGTTCTCATCCCTGGGGTTCCTGTGTTTAGGTTGTTGAGCCATACCTGGCACTGCTGAAACCACCACCAGTAGGAGCTAGGCCATTTCAACCACTCTGCTTTGTGTTCTCACATCACTCCTGGATCCCCAGGTGTCCCGTTT